ATGCAAAGAGGAGCTTTCCGAGCCACTGTCAACCATATTTAATAAATCAATAGAGTCGGGCAGAGTGCCAGAGTCATGGAAGGTAGCTAATGTGGTACCAATTTTTAAGAAAGGAGATAGATCACTTGCGTCAAACTATCGGCCAATTAGCCTAACGTCTATTGTGGGAAAGTTACTTGAATCAATAATTGCAAATACAATTCGTCTCCATCTTGAAAAACATAAATTAATAAATGAGTCGCAACATGGTTTTACAAATGGTCGTTCATGTTTAACAAATTTGCTAACTTTTTATTCCAGCATAGTTGAGGAAGTTGATAGTGGTAAGGATTGTGATGTTGTGTACCTTGACTTTAGCAAAGCTTTTGATACAGTGCCACATGAAAGACTAATTAAAAAAATAGCAGCTCATGGTATTGGGGGGTGCTATATTAACTTGGATTAGGGCATGGCTATTCCAAAGGAAACAGAGAGTTAGTATAAATGGGGTTAAGTCAGAGTGGGATAATGTTGTTAGTGGAGTACCTCAGGGCTCTGTCCTGGAACCTCTGTTGTTTATAATATATATAAATGATTTAGATTCAGGTTTGAGTAGCAACATTTGCAAATTTGCCGATGATACGAAAATCGGTAGGGAAATTAATTCGGAGGAGGACTCACTATCACTTCAAGTTGATCTAGATAGGGTTTTGAAATGGTCAAATGATTGGCAAATGCAGTTTAACGCTGATAAATGTAAAGTTCTGAGGCTAGGTAATGATGATAGAGTTACAAGATACGAGCTAGATGGTGTTGAGATTGCGAAGTCGGATTGCGAAAGGGATCTGGGAGTTATGATTAGTAAGAATTTAAAACAAAAGGATCAATGCATGAATGTTCGTAATAAGGCGAATAGGACACTGGGATTTATTAATCGAAGCGTTAGTAACAAGACACCTGGTGTGGTTCTTAAGCTATATCTTGCTCTGGTTAGGCCCCATTTAGATTATGCAGTCCAGTTTTGGTCGCCGTATTATAGAATGGATATAAATTCACTTGAACGTGTCCAACGTAGGATGACTAAGTTAATTCCCCAAATTAGAAATCTTTCATATGAAGAAAGATTAACAAAGCTTAAGTTGCATTCACTGGAAAGGCGAAGAGTTAGGGGTGACATGATAGAGGTTTACAAGTTAAACAGTTCTGCAGTTACCTTTGTTCTTATGTTCTTAAAGCCGCATGAGTGATAACAGCCATTGTGGGTGGAGACCCCAGCCTGATAGACTATCGTATTAGCAATAGACAAGGCAGCCTGATAAAATACAATATTGGCAATGGACAACGCAGCCTGATAGAATACAATATTAACAATAGACAATGTAGCCTGATAGACTACAATATTGGCAATAGACAGAACGGTGGTGAGAAAGAGAGAGCAGCGTAATAGAAGGCTTGCAGGCACATTGTGCGGTTACGCTTGACCATAGTTGAGAGTGTAATACTTCCCGTGAATTGTGAGGCGACTGTAGTTCTTAACTGCCCTTGGTGATGGGTTGGTGAAGCAGCAGTGTGGGGCGGGTGAAGCAGCAGCAGCAGTGTGGGGCGGGTGAAGCAGCAGCAGCAGTGTGGGGCGGGTGAAGCAGCAGCAGCAGTGTGGGGCGGGTGAAGCAGCAGCAGCAGCAGCAGTGTGAGGCGGGTGAAGCAGCAGCAGTGTGGGGCGGGTGAAGCAGCAGCAGCAGCAGCAGTGTGGGGCGGGTGAAGCAGCAGCAGCAGCAGCAGCAGCAGCAGTGTGGGGCGGGTGAAGCAGCAGCAGCAGCAGTGTGGGGCGGGTGAGCAGCAGCAGCAGCAGTGTGGGCGGGTGAAGCAGCAGCAGTGTGGGGCGGGTGAAGCAGCAGCAGCAGTGTGGGGGCGGGTGAAGCAGCAGCAGCAGTGTGGGGTGGGTGAAGCAGCAGCAGTGTGGGGCGGGTGAAGCAGCAGCAGCAGTGTGGGGCGGGTGAAGCAGCAGCAGTGTGGGGCGGGTGAAGCATCAGCAGCAGCAGTGTGGGGCGGGTGAAGCAGCAGCAGCAGTGTGGGGCGGGTGAAGCAGCAGCAGCAGTGTGGGGCGGGTGAAGCAGCAGCAGCAGTGTGGGGCGGGTGAAGTAGCAGCAGCAGTGTGGGGCGGGTGAAGCAGCAGCAGCAGTGTGGGGCGGGTGAAGCAGCAGCAGCAGTGTGGGGCGGGTGAAGCAGCAGCAGCAGTGTGGGGCGGGTGAAGTAGCAGCAGCAGTGTGGGGCGGGTGAAGCAGCAGCAGCAGTGTGGGGCGGGTGAAGCAGCAGCAGCAGTGTGGGGCGGGTGAAGCAGCAGCAGCAGCAGTGTGGGGCGGGTGAAGCAGCAGCAGTGTGGGGCGGGTGAAGCAGCAGCAGTGTGGGGGGGAGTGAAGCAGCAGCAGTGTGGGGCGGGTGAAGCAGCAGCAGCAGCAGTGTGGGGCGGGTGGAGCAGCAGCAGCAGCAGTGTGGGGCGGGTGAAGCAGCAGCAGCAGCAGTGTGGGGCGGGTGAAGCAGCAGCAGCAGCAGTGTGGGGCGGGTGAAGCAGCAGCAGCAGCAGTGTGGGGCGGGTGAAGCAGCAGCAGCAGCAGTGTGGGGCGGGTGAAGCAGCAGCAGCAGCAGTGTGGGGCGGGTGAAGCAGCAGCAGCAGCAGTGTGGGGCGGGTGAGCAGCAGCAGCAGCAGTGTGGGGCGGGTGAAGCAGCAGCAGCAGCAGTGTGGGGCGGGTGAAGCAGCAGCAGCAGCAGTGTGGGGCGGGTGAAGCAGCAGCAGCAGTGTGGGGCGGGTGAAGCAGCAGCAGCAGTGTGGGGCGGGTGAAGCAGCAGCAGCAGTGTGGGGGGGAGAAGCAGCAGCAGCAGCAGTGTGGGGCGGGTGCTGGCAGCAGCAGCAGTGTGGGGGGGGTGAAGCAGCAGCAGCAGTGTGGGGCGGGTGAAGCAGCAGCAGCAGTGTGGGGCGGGTGAAGCAGCAGCAGTGTGGGGCGGGTGAAGCAGCAGCAGCAGTGTGGGGCGGGTGAAGCAGCAGCAGCAGTGTGGGGCGGGTGAAGCAGCAGCAGCAGTGTGGGGCGGGTGAAGCAGCAGCAGCAGTGTGGGGCGGGTGAAGCAGCAGCAGCAGTGTGGGGGGGGTGAAGCAGCAGCAGTGTGGGGCGGGTGAAGCAGCAGCAGCAGTGTGGGGGGGTGAAGCAGCAGCAGCGTGGACCGGGGGAAGCAGCAGTGTGGGGCGGGTGAAGCAGCAGCAGTGTGGGGCGGGTGAAGCAGCAGCAGCAGTGTGGGGCGGGTGAAGCAGCAGCAGCAGCGTGGGGCGGGTGAAGCAGCAGCAGCAGTGTGGGGCGGGTGAAGCAGCAGCAGTGTGGGGCGGGTGAAGCAGCAGCAGTGTGGGGCGGGTGAAGCAGCAGCAGCAGTGTGGGGCGGGTGAAGCAGCAGCAGCAGTGTGGGGCGGGTGAAGCAGCAGCAGCAGTGTGGGGCGGGTGAAGCAGCAGCAGCAGTGTGGGGCGGGTGAAGCAGCAGCAGCAGTGTGGGGCGGGTGAAGCAGACAGCAGTGTGGGGCGGGTGAAGCAGCAGCAGCGTGGGGCGGGTGAAGCAGCAGCAGCAGTGTGGGGCGGGTGAAGCAGCAGCAGTGTGGGGCGGGTGAAGCAGCAGCAGTGTGGGGCGGGTGAAGCAGCAGCAGTGTGGGGCGGGTGAAGCAGCAGCAGTGTGGGGCGGGTGAAGCAGCAGCAGCAGCAGTGTGGGGCGGGTGAAGCAGCAGCAGCAGTGTGGGGCGGGTGAAGCAGCAGCAGCAGTGTGGGGTGGGTGAAGCAGCAGCAGTGTGGGGCGGGTGAAGCAGCAGTGTGGGGCGGGTGAAGCAGCAGCAGCAGTGTGGGGCGGGTGAAGCAGCAGCAGCAGTGTGGGGTGGGTGAAGCAGCAGCAGTGTGGGGCGGGTGAAGCAGCAGCAGCAGTGTGGGGCGGGTGAAGCAGCAGCAGCAGTGTGGGGTGGGTGAAGCAGCAGCAGTGTGGGGCGGGTGAAGCAGCAGCAGCAGTGTGGGGTGGGTGAAGCAGCAGCAGTGTGGGGGCGGGTGAAGCAGCAGCAGCAGCTGTGTGGGGCGGGTGAAGCAGCAGCAGCAGCAGCAGTGTGGGGCGGGTGAAGCAGCAGCAGCAGTGGGGGCGGGTGAAGCAGCAGCAGCAGTGTGGGGCGGGTGAAGCAGCAGCAGCAGTGTGGGGGGGGTGAAGCAGCAGCAGCAGCAGTGTGGGGCGGGTGAAGCAGCAGCAGTGTGGGGCGGGTGAAGCAGCAGCAGTGTGGGGCGGGTGAAGCAGCAGCAGTGTGGGGCGAGTGAAGCAGCAGCAGCAGTGTGGGGCGGGTGAAGCAGCAGCAGCAGCAGTGTGGGGCGGGTGAAGCAGCAGCAGCAGCAGTGTGGGGCGGGTGAAGCAGCAGCAGCGTGGGGCGGGTGAAGCAGCAGCAGCAGTGTGGGGCGGGTGAAGCAGCAGCAGCAGTGTGGGGCGGGTGAAGCAGCAGCAGTGTGGGGCGGGTGAAGAAGCAGCAGCAGCAGTGTGGGGCGGGTGAAGCAGCAGCAGCAGCAGTGTGGGGCGGGTGAAGCAGCAGCAGCAGCAGTGTGGGGCGGGTGAAGCAGCAGCAGTGTGGGGCGGGTGAAGCAGCAGCAGCAGTGTGGGGCGGGTGAAGCAGCAGCAGCAGTGTGGGGCGGGTGAAGCAGCAGCAGTGTGGGGCGGGTGAAGAAGCAGCAGCAGCAGTAACCCACCAAGATCAATCCGTGACACCTGGTCCACCCCATGTTTACCATCCCAGGGTCCGGAGCAGCCCACCCACAGGACCTCCCACCCACAGGGCCGCCCACCCACAGCACCGCCCACCCTCAGCGCCTCCCACAGCGCCCATGGCACCGCCCACAACACCCGCGCTAAATGCTATTGATGCGATAAATAATAAAGCCGCTTGCCGCAGTGATAAGAGTGAGCGCCTGGGGCCGCCCCAGCGTGAGCTGCGCCCGGGCCCTATCACGCCCCTCTGGACTCACCTTCTGCAGGCTAGGCCTCCGCTCCGGCGTCCTCTAGCCCTCGTCAGCAGTCCGCGGCGGCGCTATCCCACGCCACACAAGCCTTCAGGTTACAATATTCTCGACACAACGCTCCGCCACACCCTCCCGCGCCACAGCCTCTCATCAAACTGAGTGACGTCAGGGAGGTGCTCGCTTGGTTTCCATTTTGCTCCAATAGATGGCGGCACCTGCTGTAGAAAACGAGCCAGAGTTGATGGAAAATGGGATTGTTAGGGGGGGTTCAAATAGAGGTAAATATGTACGGGCTTTCTGGTGCATTTTCCTGATAGCACCTGAATGTTACCGGTGTATAATTCACATCTATCGCCACGATGTACAGCAGTTACAGCCTCGTTCTTGTGCCGGGTAAGGCCACTACGGGCTCACCATAGCCCGTGCTACTTGGAACGTTTAGTTCCCAGTAGCCGAATCTTAAACAACACGATATAACTAGAACAAGACAGACTCTGAAAGTGTCAACATTACCTTCCTCTGTGACGGAGCCGACTACGACGCTACTCCGGAGCAAAGACATGAACGGAAAGGAACGTACAACAACTAGTATCTTGAAGAAAAGAAACCGGAGGAGTCGGAGCAGCCGAAGCTCTGGGGTTAGATTCACGAAAGCACTTACGTAAACACTTACGAACCTGTACATCTTTTCTCAATCTTTGGCGGCTTTGTTTACAATTATTAAACAGTTAATGAGCTCGGAAGCACCAGGAGGCTGTTTATAACAATAACAACAGTTGATTGGCAAGTTTTCATGCTTGTAAACTGTTTAATAAATGTAACGAAAGCCGTCAAAGATTGAGGAAAGATGTACACGTTCGTAAGTGCTTGCGTAACTGCTTTCATGAATCTGGCTCCTGGAACGTTGAAGCAGAGACACGGCCACTGCAGCATCCGGACCTCGTCGACTCTGAATTCCACGAAAAGTAGGACAAAACATCCAGTCACTCAACAGCAATAAGAGGACAGAAGACCATGCAAGCACTACAGAACTTCCTGCCAAACATCAGTTGCAAGACACAATTATTGGGCAAGACACAATTGGGGCTATTTAACACAAGGGACACACGCACAAGGGGACACAGGTGGAAACTGAGCGCCCAAATGAGCCACAGAGATATTAGAAAGAACTTTTTCAGTGTCAGAGTGGTTGACAAATGGAATGCATTAGGAAGTGATGTGGTGGAGGCTGACTCCATACACAGTTTCAAGTGTAGATATGATAGAGCCCAATAGGCTCAGGAATCTGTACACCTGTTGATTGACAGTTGAGAGGCGGGACCAAAGAGCCAGAGCTCAACCCCCGGAAACACAACTAGGTGAGTACAAAGCCAACCAGTCAAGCTCACAGCACTATCAGCACCTACACCTCGAGTGGTGATATCCCTGGAAACACAAACCGAAACTGTCTCTATTTTCCGCTTGTTACAACTTGTAATAAAGTTGTTGCATCTTGGCTTAACGTGTTTATGACGTATTAGAACGTTGTTACAACTTGCTATATTGGTTGTTATAACTGGTTAGGTGGTGTTAAAACTTGTTCGAACGTTGTACCAACGTCGTAGTTTCGGTGTGTGTTTGGCGGGTTATACAGCCTCAGAGGAGAAAAACGCTATTAGAGATCATTTGTACTTTTCTCTCGGAATCTGTGGAATTCATTGTAATACCCGTTGTCGAGGGGGGGGTGGGGGGAAGGAAGCCTGTGTTTAGGCTTACCGAGGACCCACTTGGGCTTTCCCTAGGATGCAACTAACACCAATTGTCTAACTCTCGGATACTGCTAGGTGAACAGACGCATTAGGTGAAATTAAACGTGCCCAATAGGTTCTGTCTTGCCCGGGAACTGAACCCGGGTCCCTTGGTTAAGTCGAGGACGATCACCACTATTCTACACTTCATTTGTAATAACAATAATTATAATATTGGTAACGAATATTACACAATCAAATACACTGTGCAACAATAGTTAATTACTAGTAAACAATTTCACTAGGTGGAAATGTATATGTTTATCTCTCAGAATGTTTGGTAATGTTTATTGTTTGTGATGTGTGTCTATGTATGTATTAACACGATGTACTGAACGGGGTGAGAATAGCTTGAGCTACCTCATCCCTTTGTGTGTATTTTACCTCAATAAACTTATTTCAATTTCAATTTCACTCAAAAGGGTCAAAACTAGTTGCTTACGAGAGTTGTATACACATATATGCAACAGCTTGCTAGCTGATATAATTCAAAATACAGTAATTCCGTGTATACAGATAAGAAATTAAATAAAATTAGTATAACGAAGTTTGGGTCCGTCCTGGACAGGTTCAGGACCGAAATGTTGTCACTTTCATGTATTATTGTGACTTTCTTTGCACCGTGAATACATTTACAGATACGTTAAAAATCACGTGTCTTAAAATCTGTAGCCAATGTTGCTCCTAACACACGAAGCCTATTGTGACGATAATCTCTTTCAAGAGAGATTGAGCCTGCTCTTCCCTCCAAAGTACGTTACATTAACAGATAATATAGAAGATATATCCAGCAAGTATCTCCAAAACGTTTTGCCCAGAGAACAAAACGTATCCAGCTTTTGAAACAGCCGAACACCAACGCTTTACCGTCACACTATCATATATAAGTAGCCTAATTCAGATCTAATGGTTTGTTCTTTAATTATTTTGCAAGCATTTGCTCTCTGCTCCTGGAATGCTTTTTCCCTCTCCTTAGCACATAATATCCCATACACATTCCTAATCTGGGAGTGGCCACGGCTGTAGCTGCTTCCTGTTCAAGTAAGTTTATTGAGAAAAGGAAGTACATCTCATAAATGATAGAGTAGCTTAGGCTATTTCTACCCTCGTCTCTATAAGGTCTCTCAAGGGGCTCACAAACCCATACAGTACACATTAATTAATCATATTATACATTACACATTCCAATAGTAATGGAATATGTAATGTAGAATATGATTCTTGTAAGTTAGATCAATGATTCTACTACGAATCGTCTCTATATCTTATGTTCATCTTCACTTGACAAGGAAATTGAGCGATTTATTCTACAAAGCTTATTCTTACAATTTAAGTGGGCTACATGTGTGTCATTAAAAGAACGCGTTTCACTAAAACACTCTCTAACATCTTCGGAGTCAGACAGGAAGTGAATTGAGAGTGGCAGTGGTAAAGTGAATTTTGGAAAATTATAATATATTAACTTCCTTCTTGAGTGAAGAACATAATACAAAAAAATATTCGTAGCAGAATCTTTGATGTGAACCTGTTGGTTATATTTAATAATTAATAATAATATCAACAGCTATAATATAAATATAAGTAATAATAATAATACTGCAAATATTGATAAAACTAAACTTACAACTGATAATTAAGAATCTAAAGATTAGTTCAACATTCATACCATCAGTCCCAAACTTGGCGCCTGATAGCTGGGTAGACAGCGCTGCGGATTCGTAGTCCTGACGTTCCAGGTTTGATCCCCGGTGGAGGCGGAGACAAATGGGCAGAGTTTCTTTCACCCTGATGCCCCCTGTTACCTAGCAGTAAATAGGTACCTGGGAGTTAGACAGCTGCTACGGGCTGCTTCCTGAGGGGTGCGTAACAAAAAGGAAGCCTGGTCGAGGACAGGGCCGCGGGGACGCTAAGCCCCGAAATCATGTCAAGATAACCTCAAGATAACTGAGAAGCAGAAGACCCAGAATTCCACCATCAGTTAACAATTATGACGAGTGGTGTAGCGGTATGACCCTCGCCTGGCGTTTCGCGAGCTTTATCCTGGGTTCGTATCCTGGCCGGGGAGGATTTACTGGGCACAAATCCTTAACTGTAGCCTCTGTTTAACTCAACAGTAAAATGTGTACTTGGTTAAACGATTTGGCGGGTCGTATTCCAGGGAACATAGGCTTAAGGACCTGCCCGAAACGCTACGCGTACTAGTGGCTGTACAAGAATGTAACAACTCTTGTATAAATAAATAACAAAGTTGTAATGTGCGCAGAGAATGGTATTGACACAGGCGCCTGTCACAGGAGAAGCCTTGCCAGCAGTCACCCAGACCACTGGCAAACTACTCAAGACACCGCGGGAGACAAGCTCAGTCAGCACGTTAGTTTAGTTCATTTATTATGCGCCCCATACCCATCTTGTGGGCGGTAGTGGAAAGGGTTACAGAGGTACATAATGGGCTCAGGAACTGAACCCCGAAATTCATTTAGCTAAGCAAGTTACAGTCTTATAATAAATAATAATAATATTTTATTTAGGAAAAGTACATACATAGATGCAGTTACAAATATTCTGATTTATAGATAGAACTAGTACATAGCTAAAGCCTACTCATAGCGTTTCGGGCAAAAGTTTATTACAAAATGTAATGTATATTATATCAACAATGGAGGTGGAGACCCACGCCAAGTACAGTCTCAGCAACTGACATATGTGGCAGAGTTAGTGTTATAACTGATATGTTTATCCTGCAGCCCGCCCCCGCCCCATCCACTAGGCTACGGTGGAGGAGGCTAACATCCGGGAGGCAGCGTAAGGGGGCAGCAGCGGTTATGTTGTTGATACAGCTACTCCCAACACACACTTGCAAGCAGCACGGTCTATGGTGAGCCCGTAGTGCTTACCTGGCACAGGAGATGTGCTACCGGTGGTTCATGCTTCTGTCGGTTTATCTACCAGCCCGTCCTTCAAACAAACACCCAAAAGTGATTCCATGCACCCGCCAAATCCCAGCTGTTTATGAATGAAAAACGGTTTACACACGACTCACAACTGCTGACGTTCGAACATATCCGGAACAAGTGCTTCACTGACGACTTTTGTTCGAATCACAATGCTGTAAATGCTTCACCCACGTACTACAAATACAAATAATCGCCAACAGAACCTGGGGCCAGATTCACGAAACAGTTACGCAAGCTTGTACGAACGTGTCCATCTTTTCTCAATCTTTGGCGGCTTTGTTTACAATTATTAAACAGTTAATGAGCTCGGAAGCACCAGGAGGCTGTTTATAACAATAACAACAATTGATTGGCAAGTTTTCATGCTTGTAAACTGTTTATTAAATGTAAACAAAGCCGTCAAAGATTGAGGAAAGGTGTACACGTTCGTAAGTACTTGCGTAACTGCTTCGTGAATCTCGCCCCAGGTTCGTAAGTGCTTGCGTAACTGCTTCGTGAATCTGGCCCCTAGACACCTAACCAATGCCTAAATATGCTCAATATGGTAATATAAAATAATATTAATATTTATTTGAAAACATTCCTGGTTTGAATGAACAACATGTTAAAATTGATGAATGCTTCTTTGGGGTCGACCGCTGGATGGAATGGACTTGGCCGGAAGACAGGTTGCTGACCTGAGAGAATGTGAACATCTAAGATACATTAGAAATGTGTGTACCATAGTAAACCCCGCATTGCTTGAGTTAGGAAAATACTATCTGTCAAATATAAATGCTGTTCTTAAAGATTCCCCCATTTTGCACCCGCAAGATAACGTAAGTTTTTAAGGGTTGACAGATGTTAATCTTCTTGTTTGAGGAGCTGTTCACTTGAGATAGTTAAGCAA